ATAGCTATAAGTCTGAATTTTTGCTTGCCCATCAACCAACAAAACAGAAGTGTCCATAATTAACTTTTGGAACTCTGCTGTTGGATACTGAGGCCAGCATTTATTAATTTACAGAAAAGTTTGGGCATCTAAATAGACAGGAACAGAATCTATAGATACACCAGCTAGGATAACAATAAGGACTAATAATACTCAGCTTCAAAAGTATGAAAACCACCCAGATCTCTCCCTATCATTTTTCCTCAGTACTACTGAGCAAAAGACATTCATAAGATCGAGAATTATAATGTTTGTATACTGTTTTAGGAACAAATGCAGTAAAAAGGGACAATATGGTAGGCAGCCCATTTCTCAGTTTTGCACTATTGTATGATTCATGTAGGATTGTTTTCTGCCATTACAGAAGTTACAATTTGGCTGGTGTTCAGAACTGTAAATGACTATTCCAACACGGATTTAATCAGGACAGCTCTTCACAGAGGAAAATTGTAGTGTCTAGGGCTGGAGGCAGTAAGAATTCCACTCAAACAAAAGTAAATAGATTGGCAGATGTATTTGTAGAGAGAAGGAGAGAAGGAGGACTGACTTGCATGCTGCAATATGCATTTGGTAGATTTCATGAGATTTCAGATTTGTAAAGCATTTTGAAATCTGTGGGTGAAAGGCATCAAGTGTTTCAGACACTTAACCATTTTACCCTTGAATACAACACACACCCTAGCACCTCAAGACCACTGAAATATCACATCAGGGTTAAAGAATCTGGAGCACTTCAAACAAACAAAGAAATAAAAGGCACAAAAAATAAGCTTGTAAGAGAGAGCAACATGCAGAGCCACTTAGAGCCGAAGCACAAAGAAGAAATACCAGAAAGCGTCTGTATTGTACTCACGGAGCAGAAGTGAGATGATTGTGAACACTTCGGCTTTCTTTAAAGAGCATCCTGAAAGAGAAAGAGAGACAGAGGGGAAACACGGGCACACTGAGATTATACATGGGCAAAGATGACATGGACACCACTTGGTTCACTGCTGGATTTTTGGATTATCTGTCCCCTAAGAATCAAGCAAGCAGTTTTTTTCTAAACTGCTAATTTGGTATAGTTATAAATAGTCAACCACAAACAAAAATGTAGAAAAACTGATTACAATTAAGTCAATATAGATAACTACTGTGCTAGCAGAAAACAATGCAAACCAATTCTTCTTCAGTGGAATATAAATAGCAGAATTTTACATGTCCCCTTGCCAAATCTCTCAGAACAACATGTAAAAATTATCTTAATGTTTCAAAACAGCTTAGCACAATGGCCCTTGAACCAAACTGCTTACACAACAAGGGTGCATCCCCACATGCAGGGGCATGCACTTGCAGGGTTAAAAAAAAAAGTGCAGTGGCGTAAATCTGTGGTGTTACGCATGCCCCTGCACATGTGCTATAGTGTGGAATAAAATGCCCTGCTTTGGGGAAACTGCTGTTTCCCTGCTCCTCCCAGCTCCTGGCATGCTGGAAGAGCTGGGATGGAACTGGAGGGGAGGAGACACACTGGTCAGTCAGAGCATCTCCTGGGAGAACCGAGTTGTGATGTGCATCCTGCCGCTCACGACTTTTTTTTTTTTTGCATCCAGAATTTCCCGGTAGCAAATTTTGCCTCCGTACTGCAAATCTGCAGCACAAGGCACATTTTAATGTGCTAGGTGTGCGGTTTGCAGTGCCACAAGCTACACATGCTTGCATGTCTGGATCTAGGCCAAGAGTCCACATATGAAGGAAGAATCAGAAAACAAAAAGACAAGCTTGTTCCCAAACATCTCAAAAGCACACAGAGAATGCTACGATATTACTTTAGGCTGCATCTAGACCTGCAAAAAATCCTTAGTGAGGGAACAACATTGTGGTAAAAATTCCTGAGCCCTGGCTATATTAAAACTTTCACTGTTATAGAGGGAACTGCATCAGTAATTAATTACGGCCTTATTTTATTACCATAGATTAAGCAAAATTTAAGGGCCATTTACACTAGGAAAACACACCTTACTTTTACACTACTGCCACCATGAGACAAATTTGTCTGCAGCATCACATAGCCCTGAACAGCTGCTTAACAGCGTTTTGGCAGCACACGATGGAGTTGCTTCAATGAAGAACATAAGATTTTTAGTGTCTCGGGACTTTAAGAAGGCATTCCCACAGATGAAAGAGAAGAAAAATCACTTGATTGTACAAGACAAGACAACCCTAGTATCTCTCTGACTATGGTTCCAGACCCTTTTTCTTTAATTCTATTGTTATATTTTTCATTCAATTACTACATCTGCTCTCTACTTCATTCCTTCTCACTTCTTTCCATCCTACCAATCCTCAATTCTATTGCAACGCATTGTTTCTGATCCCCAATGATTAAAAACTGCAGGAAATCCAGAGACATGGACCTGCCCCACTACAAGTCTGTTTTGTCTTACTTCATATTGTCATCTTCTCCAAACAATTTACTACTTCTCTGACTACCTTGTTTTCACCTTAGATTCCCTCATTCATTAAGATATACCAGTCTGGAATGCTGCATGCTTAACCATCCATAAACCATTTGACACAAAATGACTTTTTCCCCCTCCCTGTTTACATAGCTGCTTTCTGTTAATCACCACACCAATCTAAAGCCAGGGACCTGTACAACCAATTGTTCTTGCTGTTCTATCACACTCTCTACCTCCTCCACCCTCCCTGTGCCACAAAATAATGAAGCTGAGTAATAAGAAGCATCCAGAAATATGCAATGCTAATTATTTGTTTATACGAGTACATGGTTTATTGCATTTTACACCTCCAGTCAGACCCTAGAAAACCTTTCCTTTCCTTACTTTTTCCTTCCCATGTATACTCATTTAGGCTACAAGGTACACTAGACAACTTTCTAAAAAACAAAAACATAGAAAACATCTCCTCCAGAGTTTGATAACGAAACATCTTTTATAAAAGATTTATTAAAAAGATTAGATTGTAAACACTTTTATTCAAAACATTGTTAAGATTCCTTCTTCTTGTTACTGCATACAGCCTCCCAAACTGTATAGGTGCTACTACCCTGCAAAGAAACAAGTAGCAAAATTTCAACTCCTCTGTAGGCAAGAATTTGTTTACTACACACCTATGAGAAAATGCTATAGCCAAATTGCTAGCTAGGCCACCAGAGGTATTAATCCCCCCTCTCCCACACAAACCACTCTTCTCAGTCCAATACTCCTTTTGCATAGACCAAAACAGCAACCAATCTGGCCCCATGGGCTAGATGAGTGGTGCACGACCAGTCCATAGTCCTGATGAATAGTGCAGGGCCACCTCACTGAGCCCCAGAATGCTGAGCGGGGAACAAGTTCCCCAGCCTGTTCTCCCTCCAGACAGCTCTGCACTCATGGAGCTGGGCAGGGAACAGTCTAATGCTGGGCTGGCTCTGGGAAATCCTTATCCCAGCCCAGGCTTTGTGGTCAGAGCCTGGGCTGGAAGACCCTCACCTCCCAGCCCCGGCTCTGTGGTCAGAGCCAGCACTGGGAGATGAGTCTCCCAGCCTGATCCTTGTGATTGCGGAGCTCCCGCTGGGAGATAAGAGTCTCCCAGCCCCGCACTTGTGATGGCAGAGCAGAGGCTGGGAGATGAAGATCTCCCAGCCCCTGCTTATGAACTGAGAGCAGGAGGCTTGGAGCTCCCTGCTGCCAGGGTGGGGGACACGGTCCCAGCCCAGGGTCCTGTGGTAGAGCTTGCCCTGGCAGCAGGCTGACCAGGAGCAGACAGATGGCTGCTCCTAGTCAGGTGTCTACACAAGCACTACTGCACTGTTACTAATTGTCGAGTAAAAGTTTCTACTTGCACTTGCAGGTGGCAAATTTACCACCTGCAAGATTAGGGAAGTTTACTTTGTAGTAAGCATGTGCACGTGTAAATGTGCATGCTTACTTAATAGTAAACTATGCTAATGCAAAGTTAAGTGTCTTGTGGAGATGCGTTTCTTGAATCTCAACTCTTGTTTCTCCCTGTGGTTTGCCATGCAACCTCTGGCAAGTCACTTAATCTTTGTGTCCCATCAGTAAATTACAGGTACTGCCTACTTCATAGGGGATCTTAGAATCTGGAAAATAAACATTTGGACAGTAAGTGCTATGCAAATAGATTCTGGATTTTACTGAGACTATCAAAGATCACTCCCATAATAGATAGCCATATATTTAACTTAATCTCTGGGGTTTTGGGCTTTTTTTTTTGGTTTTTTTTTTTTTGTTTGTTTCTTTTTGAGATACAGGTTTTCCTTCGCTTTATGCGGGTTCTGCATGCGCAAATTCGTTCTTATGTGATAACTGTTTTATGCCAAACATTCATTATATGAGGTAAATTTACTCTTTTATGAGATTGGTGTGGTGAAAGCCTGCAGTCAGCTGCTTTGTGCAGTGCATTGTGGGAGCGATGCATGCCAAAATAGTCTCATGTGGATCTGTGCTCCTCACTTGTCTGTTTCTGTAGCTGCCGTCCCCGCTATGACAGTGCCCTGTGCTTGTGTGTACTGTCTGCTATTGGCGAGTACCAAAATCATCTTGTAATAGTGGTACAAACGAGTCTGGGGGTCAGTACAGTCGAGGTCTTATAACAAAGAGGGATACGTTCCATTGTAAAGTAGGTTCCCTTTATGTGAATTCGAGTTATGCGCTGTTTTCCAGGAACACATGTACCACATAAAGCAGTGAAACCTGTATTTGGAACACACTGCTGAGTGGTTCAACATGGTTTCAGTGTAGGAACTATCCCTTATCTGAATCAGAACCACAATTCCATTCCATTATGCCTCAAATAAAATAATAATGGATTTCTGTCCCTTGTTTATTGGTGCAAAAGAACATCCAATTTCTCCTGAGAACAGAGTATAAAATAATCACTCAAATGACCAATAGCTTTTGCCATCAATAAATAAGTAGTGATGGATAAAGTGTCCAATTTGATAATATACCATTGATGAACCCTGCTGATATTACACAATATTCAGCATATGCAGGATCTCCTGGCAAAAAAGTCTAACTGCAGAGTATATAGCAGGGGTGGGCAAGATGCAGCCTGCGGGGCCCCTAAAAAAGTTTAGAAAATTAATATTTATCTGCCCCTGCTTGCTGGTCACATGGCCCTCGATGGCTTGCCAAAACTCAGTAAGCGGCCCTCCACCTGAAATAATTGCCCGCCCCTGGTATATAGCATCAATATGAAACTATCAGTATGCAGCCATTACCCTAAAGACCTATCAAATTATTTCTGTAACAACTGCCAGCTAGATACTGTAAAACTAATTAAGCCTTAACACAAGATAAAACAATTTCTGTTTATAGGCAGAAGTTACAGCTATGAGACTACTGTTCTTGTTTGAAGTTACTCATTTAGAGTTAAAAAATTAAAAACAAGAGGGCACTTTTCATTGCACTCATCCCACGTAAAAATACATGCCAGGTATAGTATCAGCATTTTTAGTCACAAAGTATTCATAGATTTGGCTTTAGTTGGTCATGGAATTACTTTACCACAGCACTTAGCTACTACATTCTCTGCACCAATTCTTTCTCCACATCTTCTCTTACCTAACTGTTGTCCTGTGTCTGGTCTATCCTAGACTGTAAACTCTTCAGAACAAGGGAGTGTACCTCACTGTTTGTAAAGATTCAGGTTTATTTATCAGTATATTTACTGCATAAATACATATATTACTAACAAACATACCTTTGTGTCCAGGAAAGTCATTCAGTGACACTTGTTCATTAGTCTGACCAAATCATTACTCTACGCTGTAGTTTCTTTTTTAAATACACTGGGTGCTTATGAAATGGCATTTTACTTAGAAGCTGGTGATATGGTTATTTTTACAGCCTTTACAATTCTGTTGTATAGGCCTTGGTTATACTCCAGGGCTCCTCTGTGAACAATTTATTATTAGTTCATTGATTACATCCACCTTTTAGAGTTCCCAGTAAGATGTCTTAAAATTGATGGGCATCTGTGCCTTGTGACAGGTTCCAGAGTGTGGAATTCATTCCCTCTGTGAGATTTGTCTCTTCCTCTCTTCCCCACTTTCAGAGAAGGTTATTTCAAACGTGCCTTTCAGCAGCATTACTGAAATCAGCCTAATAATTTAGAACCTTTCCCCTCCTACCTTGTCTTTGGACTCCTTTTAATTAGTTTGCTTGAACAAAAATTTAACAGATTGTGTTTTAAATATATAATTGCATAGCATCCTAACTGCTTCATCAAGGGACCTTCTCTATAAGAGAACAAAGTTTGTTTCATGAAATGTTTAGCAAATTCTTGTTTTGGTATGCTAGCATATGTAAAATAAAAGTCAGGTCGCATGTAAACCTGCTCAGACTATAGAGTGACTGAGGAATGGAACTGTTGCAAGAAGAGTCTCCCAATGAACATCCCATCATTTCTCACATGCTTTTTTCCAAAAAAGGCACCATTTAGATCATGCTTAGAAGGTTAGCAAATTAGGCCACATATTGATGTTCAGCTTTCCCTGGGAGAAGCACTGTTCTCCTGCTACAAAAATCTGAAATGAACAGCCAATTCAGGCTCTCCCACAGTGATAGAGGCTGCTCCAAGAGAAAAATAACCCTGGAACAATCAGTTATGTTGATCCCAGGAGACTGAACATCTGCACACTTTCTCCTGGCTTTATTCCTCCTAGGAACTAGGAAGAGTTGAGCTGAGGGAAAGGTTTCCATGCCTTCCCAAGATGGGGGTCATCCCAGCCTTGAGAAGGCATGTGGAGGAGCTGTTCCTGCTCCTCAAGGATTGGGAAGGGAGGGAAGGAACAGTCACCAATTGCTTACTGTGGCTTCTCACACTGGGAACTCCCTTAACCTAAACTCCCGGTTGCGCTGACTTTTAAAACAGCTTCTCCAGCTACTCAGATGAGTAGCAGGGGAGGCAGGAGGAAGTCAGCTGGCAGAAAGCCAGGGTCAGAGAGGCTTTCCCTGGGCCAGTGGTGTAAAGCACTTACCTGCTCCTCACACCGAAGTTTCAGGTGCGAGGAGCAGGTGGAGGTTTGCCTCACTGCTCTGTTCCTTGGCACTGAAGAGCACTGTGAACCCTCTTCCTGCTTACCACACCCAAGTCCCAGGAGTGAGAAGCAGGCAGGGGTTTCACCTGCTGCTCCCTGAGACCAGAAGCAGAGCTAAGCAGCAGCTGCTCTGCATGTTGCGGGGAAGGAGGGGTGGACGGGGGGGCAGAGAGGGAAGGGAGCTTGCTCACTACTTATTTCCCCACCCAGGGCAGAGGGGCAACGGCCCCACACTTCCTTCCTCAAGCCAAGCAATGTCTGGCTTGTGTAAGAGAGGCAGGGACTACCAGTTGAGGAGGGGAAAGGAAATGAGCAGCAGCCAGTGCTCCGTACCTCTTCCAAGATAGACACTGTCTAGCTTAAGGAAGGGGCTGTGGACTTTCCCCCAGTGCTCCCTCCACTCTGATCTTAGTTTCCAGGAGTGGAGTTGAGCGGGCGAGGCTGCACCCTCACTCTGTTCATAGATTGTAGAGTCGGAAGGGACCACAATGGATCATTGTGTATGACCCCCTGCCCCTGGCAGGAAAGAGGACTGAAGTCAGATGACCCCAGCCAGATGACTATCGAGCCTCTTCTTGAAGATCTCCAAGCTAGGTGATAGCACCACCTCTCTTGGAAGCCCATTCCAGATTCTGGCCACCCTTACTGTGAAAAATTTCTTCCTAATACCTAACCTAAATCCACTCTCAAGTAGTTTAGACCTGTTATTCCTAGTCACCCCCTGGGGCACCTTAGTAAACAGCGCGTCCCCTATTCCCCGCTGACCTCCCCTAATAAATTTATAGGCGACCACAAGATCTCCTCTTGGCCATCTCTTGCGAAGGCTGAAGAGATTCAGCTCTCTCAACCTCCCCCTGTAGGGTCTATCACGAAGGCCACTAATCATGCGAGTGGCCCTCCTCTGGACCCTCTCCAGAGTCTCCACATCCCTCTTGAAGTGTGGCACCCAAAACTGGACACAGTACTCCAACTGCAGCCTGACCAGTGCCGCACAGAGGGGGAGCATCACCTCCTTTGATCTATTAGTCATGCACCTACTAATGCACAACAAGGTGTGATTGGCCTTGTTGATGGCCTCACTGCACTACCAGCTCATGTTCATCTTGGAGTCAATTATGACTCTGCCTCCGAGCTGCTGAGAAGGACACTCCCCAACCTATAGGTGTGCTGGGAATTCCTCCTTCCTAGGTGGAGTACCCTAAATTTATCTTTATTAAATTGCATCCTATTTCTCTCTGCCCATTGATCCAACCTGTCCAGGTCGGCCTGAATCTGCTCCCTGCCCTCCGGTGTACTAACTTTGCCCCATAACTTGGTATCATCAGCAAACTTGGAGAGGGTGCTCTCCACACCCTCGTCCAAATCGCTGATGAAGATATTAAATAATAAATTGGTCCAAGGACCAAACCCTGTGGGACCCCACTGCCCACCTCCCTCCAGGCCGAGAAGGAGCCATCCACTCTCTGGGTGCAGTCCCTAAGCCAGTTGGCCACCATGCAGCTCAGTCTGGGACAGATTTGGAGAGTCTTTCCCCACTGTTCATGCCCCCTGGGGACAGAGGAATAAAGCAGGCACAGCTCCCCTCAACTTTACCAGACTGAGGATCACCCACTGAGTGTCTATACTGCTCCTTCTCCTGGAAGGATTTCTACTGGAGCAACTCTCTCAAGAATTTTCCCCAGTAGAAACGAACATCTGCATGCAGTCTCAGTCTTTGGCAGATCACCAAAAGGGAACCTCTAATGAAAGCATTCTTCTTTTAGCACTCAAGATCCTGTGCAAATGCAACACATTTATCTTATATAGAAAGAACAGTTTTCCTAAATGTTCCAGTTCACCAGCCACTGTACTCAAGATAAGTAGTTTACTTCTCTATTCTCTCAAGCACAGATTATGTCATGCCAACGACCCTTAGTATTCCAAAAAAACAGGGAGCCAGAGATCACAGAAAATTAGGGTTGTAAGGGACCTCAGGAGGTCATCTAGTCCAACATCCTGCTCAAAGCAGGCCTATACCCAACTATATCATCCCAGCCAACCACCTTTTAAAGAGACACTGTTAAAAAGAAAGGCACAATATTTTAAAACAGGTAAAATGTTCCCGAAAGCATTTTATTTCTATTCAAAGAAGGTATCTTGCTACTGAAACAATTTGCTGAAGTGCTGGCAATCTAAACAATCATAGCACTATGTTATTACAAAAGGTTCAAGAGGTAAGCTACAGTGGCTCCTGGTTCAATGCAAAAAGAAAAGCAGAAAAGGAAAAACTATATATTTAAAACCAAGTAATTTTTAATGTCCCACGACATCTATTCCTAATTTGTTCTGGTAACCTTATTTCCAGGCCTGCAACTCCACTTGTGACTGTCCTTTCTACACTGCCAGCCTCATTCCCAGTTGTCAGCCCTATTTCTGCAACTGAATTTTTATGTAGCTCACTACCCCATTTGTAAGTACTGCACTGATCTAAGATATTAGTAATAGGTTAAAATACTGTTACTGATTTTTTTAAAATTGCAAGTGTTCCTTTATACCAATAGTTTGTAGAAGCAAAGTAAAACCTCACCTTAAGTGATTCAAGCTGATAAACAGCATTGAGGCAAGTATCTTACCTAGCCTGCATCCAGCCTTTAGGCCAGAGCGGTTTCACTTCTGTTTCCATAAAGGTCTTGAGGTAATCTTCCGGAGACTGACTTCTATTTGGCTCTAGTTCGTAACATCCCAGCTTGATCTTGACAAGGTTACACAACAAACCTCTGTTGAAAAAGCACGAAACAGGAATGAAACATGCAATGAACTACAAGCACCTAGTTTGAATGCTAAACAGAAAGTAATGGAGGAATGGAAAAAAAAACAAAACATTGTCATTACATGATAGCAGTTCAGTAGCTTATGTGAGAAGAGTTCATCAGTTTCAATCTAGTTTTGTGGAAAACTTGTCAAATGAAAACAGCTGTCTTAACTGGGATAAAGTCTTTGATCTCTCAATTTTCTCCAGGTCTTGTAGCTAACTGCTTCCACTGTTAAAGTATCCTCCTACTGTCTTCGTGTCTTTTTACTATGGCCTCACCATATATGGAACTAGCTCCTTAACCCAATCTGACATGGTCCCTCTTTTCTCCTTGAAGCAGATTATATCTAAAATCCATTTTGTACCACGACATTCTATTTAGTTAAACTGAAAGCTTTTCTCAAGAGGTACTCTTTATGGACAGTAAAAACTCGGCTTCAAGTTTTGTTCAATCTAACACAAAAAAACCCAACCCCTATTATGTCAAGCCTTAGTGGAAAGCTATATAAAAACTAAAGTTTTCCTTTGGCCCCTAACAGGTAGTCCCTTTAAATTAATCTCAGATATACTGCTCACATGTGTTACATATATGTACAAAGAGAGCTTGGTTTGCTGTTGTTTATGCTGTACCTGTGAATATGTAAAGACTTCAGTGTTTGGAAACTGTGAATCCAGAGCATCTCACTAATAATATCAGTTTCTTCTCTTTAAAAATTTACCAGTATGGGTAAAACCAAAGCTGATTTAGCAAGAGATTCTTTTGCTAAAATATTTTCAGTAATCATCTTATTTCCTAGAGCAGATAAGATTTTAGTATCTCAGGAGAGATTCTGTACTATATCTACAAGGTAAAAAGGAACAGAATCACAGCTCAAAGGAAAGGAGGACTAAAGTGGCTTTAGTCACCCGTGCCTCTTTCTGATCCTGGATTGCTCAGGAAGTGGAAAGGTCACTGGACCTGGAGAGCCTCTTTCATTAGAATAGCCACCTTGAACTACCATACCGACAAGCGGGCTAAGCAGAAACACTACAAAGCTGTGCAATACAACCCTACTCCAGCACACACCCCTATAATACATTGCAAAGACTGTCTGCAAGGATACCTTATTTGATCTTACATCTTTCTACCTCTTGAATAATCCTCTTGTGACTAGATGTGGGTTTTTACTAGAGCTCTTATGTGATGCAAAAGTACTGAAATGGGAGCAAGACATTGACTCTTTAGATGTTATGAATTCATAGCATCTGATGAAGTTGGATGTTGCCTACAAAAGCTTATGAATATCTGAACTCGTTTCTAAACGAGTTAGTCTTTAAGGTGCCATCCTGCCTCGTCTTTTGCTTGATTTCAGACTAAGTAAAATTTATGTGGTTTATAAGTCATTCTGCCCCTTCCCATGCCTCTATAAATAATTCTACTCTGAAGCATGCATTATTAGATAGCACTGGGCTGGACCAAGGGTATCAAAGCTAATACAAGGTAAAGAAGGGTAGAGTTATGTCGCACCTCACAGTATCATCCCAGTGGAATTTCTTTCTTGGCCCCACAATCCTCTTTCCTGGCTTCTCCTCATCATCTTCCTCCGACCCATTCTTCTCTCGTTCATCTTCTGCTAGCAATCTAAGTGCAGAACAATTGTTTATGGAAGGAAGACACAGAGAGAGTATTTTCCCCAGATCATAAACACTCTTAAGTAGGTTCCAGAAAGAGAGGAGCTGCCCTCAGTTGTTCATATGCCTATCTAAAGAGGCAAATATTTGACCTTCCCCTGTCCTATTTTTCTCCATCTCTCATCATCTCTAGCAAGGTACATCAAGTAGTCTCGCTCATTTGTCTGCAGGGTTTGTTTGGTGTTGTTGTTTTTTTTTAAAGGGGTGGGGGAGAAAGAGTGGGGAAGGACAGACTTTGCATTTTGTTTTGGCGAGATCTTGTTTCATTTGTTGATCAACAAAGAGTGTGCTTTTGGTGAGGCTGAGGCCTTGTTTGAACAACAGGAGAACAGTTTGGGGAATCTTTCTTTTAAGAGGTTCTCTTAGAGTATAGGTCGATGATCTTGTAGCAGGTTCCACTGTTGGACAGCATGCAGTAACCAGGTGACTGGTTGATGGGGGTTTTCTTTCTGTACTGCAATAGGTTTCTGTGGTATGTTAGGGTGACTCAAAGATGCAATCTTGGACAGTGATAGCTTCTTTCCCAGACCTGAGGAAAGATGCTTGGAACTCCAAAAGCTTGTCCCCTTCTCTTCCAACTATACAAAGTGGTCCAAGAAAATATATTGCCTCACCTTACAAATCTTCCTTTCCTCATATGTTATGGTCATCAAAACTGCACCACCACCACCCCCTTTGCTACAGAAGTGCTGCTATTCATGCCATGAATCTGCTGACAAAATGCAACATGACCAATCAATTCTCATCCCTCCCATCCAATCCCAAATCTAAATCAGCTGCCTGTTAACTGCCTAAAGGAAACAGGCATAACGTGGACAAAAACATTAATACATCTCAATTCCATTTCCTGTCAGCCAACTACTTAAGGGCCTTCAGTAATTTGTAACCTCTGATCTCACACATCCTTAAATCCACCTCAAATCCACCTACTCTAGACTTCCTTTCAGAGTTATTTGACAGCTTTACTTACAATAAGGCACACGAATTGATGTAAATTGGGATGTGAATTTACAGCATATTAATGACTCTTTAGTAACTGCTTGGGAACTTGGTCTTATCCTGTGGTAAATGCAAGGCAGTTTATGCCTCAATGAATAATTCATGGTAATTTGTTTGTGTGCCCATACTCTTAACCTGAAGAAATTTAGGAGCACCTTTCCATGATTTCCTTCTACACTTTTGCAGGCTCTGAGTGTGTTGCCTTAACAGCATTCATAAGACAAAAAACTGAGATAAAATAGAACCACATTTCTTGCTCATAGTTCCCTAGGGTAGCCAAAACAGCCTTACCCTGACTTCAGAAGTACATACTTCGCATTTTTGGCTTGACTGCGGGCCTGGCAGTCTTCCTGGTATTTGCATAACTGTTCAGGCATGACATTGCTGACAGCCAGCTTCAGTTTTTGCAGTGGTTCCCTCAAACGGTCATCCTAGGAAAAGGGAAACAAAGTAAGTTTGGTATATAACTAGTGTAAAGCATATACCCAAGATTAGTTATTGCTCCAAAAATACGCTACTAATTTTGAAGACTCATTTTAGTCTTTCAGGATGTTTCACAGGACTGTTAACAGTCCAAGAAACAACTATGCCTTGACAGCAAAGCAAAAAGCATTCAACTTCCCCCCTCTATGGTTCTCTAAAAAGACCTCCTCCCACCTCATTTGGGCCCATACTGATGCAAAGTGACATGCATAGTTTTCCAACTCTAATATATACGACTCCTCCAAACCAAGAGATTAAAAAGGAAAAAGAAAAGAGGCCAGTAGGAAGGAAACATTTCTACCTTCAAAACATTAGTGCTTAGTCTTTCTAGATTACCTTTTTTTTTTTTTACTGAAAGATGAAAAATATCTGAAAGAACAGTAAGGTTGACAAGCCTGTGTCCCTCAGATTAGTTTTTAATATAACTGACAGATTTTGGCCAGTCTGGATACTGAGCACGACCAAGTCCTGCAAGTCAGGACTCCAAATGAAAAAAAATGAAGGCTTCAAATGCAATATTACACTGTGCATTTACCATCCGCACCATTTCTAGTTCTCCATTTGCATCTTCTGACTTTTTCTTACCTTTGCCTGTGGCAACTGTTTGCCAAGAAAGCTATAACAATGGTTCAATATTCAGCAAAAGGGTGCAGAAACGCATTAAATTCCTTTCCAGAAGGAACTTTTGCTTTATGGAACTTTCAGATTTTGAAAAAGCATGGCCCCAAACTCATCCATACCCAGATTTAGAGCCTACCAGGTCTACTCTATCATCCAGTCATATCAATACAATATGCCATCTTTACTAATCAACAAATAAAAATACATATATTCATATTTCAAAACAAAGCAACTATAGAAATGGAGCATAAAGAAACATCAAACAGACCTAAGCATAAGGGCAGCATGACCCTGAATTTGTGATAAAGGGTTATGTGGCTACTGCTTTCTTCATTGGGCAATTTTTGATTCATTTGCTGTGCACAGTGTTAACCATCTAATCTACCATTAAAACAAAGCTAGGAAGTAGTTACAACTGCAGACACCTTCACATTTAATCTGCATACAGCATAAATGAAGCCATTTTATATGCATCTCCATAAATGTTTGACATTGAACTACCTCTCAGGATGCCTGTAATCTTACATTCAAAAGGTAACTTCTTAAACAGCCCCAGAACAGATCCAAAAGGTCCTTCTGTATTGGAAACCCGCTGCTGCTCTTTTCTCCCACATTGTGCCCTCATAATTACATACATATATTCCTGCTGGAGCCATTCCCTCTTTTTACCTGGACATTGAGGTGCAACTTCTTCAGACGCTTTATCAGTGTGTCCTTATTGCATGGCACAAAAGCCTCAAGGTGGGAGTACACTCCATTGCGGATGGCAGGATTTATCTCCTGTAACTGTAGCTCAATACTGACAACAAGAAACAAACAGACAGCAAACTATAAAGGTACTCCAGGATGAAGATGAAGACTGCACAGAAGGCTGAGGAAGTCTGTATGCATTACATATTCTAGTTGTGTGTGGATAAATTAACCTGGGGTGTTTTTTTAATACCTAAACCAGGGTGTCAAACACTTAGCCCACGGGCTGGATTTGAAACCGTATGTTCCAGTCTGTGGGTTGCTGGACCAACCCCATGTGAGAGCCTCAGCCTTATGTACTGCATCTGTGTGCCCTGCATGCTGGTTCTGGGGCCAGTATAGATTGGGTCATGCCAAAACCAGCGCAAAGGGCCTGCCTGGCCCCATGCGCAATACACGCAGGCCCGAGGGCTTGCAGTTCATGCAGCAAGCAAGGCAGCCACAGGGCATAAGCTGCCTGCGACATGTGGGCAGGATTTGGCACTGCACGTGGCAAGAGGAGTCTTGAGTCTGGGCTCCATGCAGGACCCCAGACACATCCCCTGTCCTGCCTGCAGTGCCAGGTCCAGCCTGTGCGCCGTGGACAGTACACCCCCCACCATGCCAGCCAGACGTGCACAGCAAACCCAAGACACGGTGCATGCTGCACAGGATAGGCAGGCTGGACCTGGCATTGTGGGTGCTGCACAGGGGTTGGTCCCAATCCAGCCCTCAAACCAACACAGACTCTTATCTGGCTCATAGGGCCAGAAGTGTTCGACACCCCTGCCTTAGACTAATTCTTGCTGAGATAAATCTCCATTAATGGGTAACAAAAGCCTAATTCAATAAAAATTCTGATGTACATGCACATGGCCATGTGCATCATGATTCTGTATATCATTCAAATTTCAGTTACTTCCCCAATCATGCCAGGCATGGCTCTGTTTTGGCCATTACATTTTTTTTTTTAAAAAACAATTTTGATAACATTTCCAAATTGTTGTTAAGCTGAACCGTGATTCTGTGAGACGAGCAGAAGAACAAGACAAGGCAAAAAAAAACAACCAAACCCAACCTTCTACACCAGACATTGGGATGCATGGATTTCAGAATTATAGTGAGCTATTTTTCTTTAATAAAATCTGAAGCAGTTTTAGCTTATGAAAATGTGGGAGAGTTGGGAAAGGATGGGAAAAATTCAACAGAACTCTGCCAACGAACTCAAGAACACAATGCACTGCAAAACATTTCACACTGGATGAACTATACATATAATGATGACTACCAGAGACAAAAGGATCGTTAGCTAGTCACTAATCAATTTAGATTAACTTGGCTTTCCCTCCGAGTCTCTTTTCTTTCTTTAAGATCTTTGTTCCAGACATCGAAATATACCCCTCTTCCCTAAACAGACAAATCTGAAGAGGTGAGCACTTACTCCAGCAGAATATTGTTCATGTCCTGTGTGAAAAATTTCTTCCTGCCTTCTTCATCAAACAACTTGGCAGCCTGGAAAGACAGCAGTAAAAGTACCCAGAAGTTTATAGCACATTTCATTCCAAAGATATTTACAGATTTCAGCACTGCACAAACTAGAACCATAAACCTCACTCTCCAGAAATGCAAACACCGTTACAATGAAATACAACAAGCCACATGAAAATTTTGAACACTAAGTGAAAAATATTGGTACAGCTAACTAAAAAAAAAAAAATGCAAAAAAAGTTCAGGTAGGCAAGACAATCATTTGGTTTGGAATGTGACCAGATTATTGGGAATAATATTCCATTCTTGCTAGATGGGCCAAAAGATCTTGTCACTAAAATAACAACTTATCAAGAGAGTTCACTAGCAAAATAATGATGCTACCTCTGGGACAATGATTTTCTCCTTACTCCAAGGGAAGAGCACTATACTTAGCATATCAAAATAATAGGGGGCAGCAACGTACACATTCCTATTCAAGCCACGTAAGACTTTTCTTCTTAAGTGGCTTTGCCCAGCTGTAAATCCCTTAGTCTTTTCGGGCAGATCTACCCCTGTTCCTTCTGTCACACTTCTTATAAAAAGGTACCACGTATACAAAAGAGGTACCCACTCCCTCTTTTCTGGTGCTGTCCCATATTCTCTCCGCATTTAGTCCTGTAATGTGGATCCATCTGTACTCCCTCCTGCTGTTCCTGTGTCTTTGCACAGTCACTCTTGCTGGGAAAGAGGCAGTTCTGTTCCTACTCAGAACAAGAAGCAATGGTCTCAAATTGCAGCAAGGGAGGTTTAGGTTGGATATTAGGAAAAAACTCTCACTAGACGGGTGGTGAAGCACTGGAAAAGGTTACCTGGAAAGGTGGTAGAATCTCCATCGCTGGAGGTTTTTAAGGCCCAGCTTCACAAAGCCCTGGCTGAAATGATCCAGTTGGGGATGATTCTGCTTTGAGCAGGAGGTTACACTATATGAACTTCTGAGGTCCCTTCCAACCCTAATTATTCTATGATTCTCCTTCACACTACAGTAG